TCCATAACCAAGAACGTTTCTTGCAATTCCGATCAACTAACCCGTCACAGTTTTATACACAGATCACCTAAAAGAATACAATTATGTCATCATATGGAGAGAGAAAAAAGAACCAACATGCCAAGTGTTTCGAAATAATTTATTCAGTAATACAAATACAAAACACCTCTCTCACTTATCATAAAATAGGCAGGTCTCGCTCCACAGAAACTGACAGCAGTTTGCCTGAAGTTACAATGCAGCTCAGCTCAGATGATACCTACAGTATGTGAAGAACGATTCCATTGCTACTTTAAAAGAACAGATTCTGCAAGGTTTTATTTCCAACAAGCAACAAATAGTTCACCCAAAAAGTCCAGTTCTGCACGACACTGCAGACCAGTGCCGGAGGTTACATGAGAGTTGTGATTGCAGACAAAAGCTTTGAGTTTCGTTTTGTTCTGACGGTAAACAGAAATATCAGCAGAGAGGCGCTTCTCATTTCAGTTCACTCAACTTCTCACGTTCTGCACTCGTAAACCGGAAAAGAAACCAGTGATACGTCTGACAGGATGGAATTCAAGTCAGGTTTATTAAAAATGTTTTTCCCCCCAAATCTGAGAGAACGCAAAAGCTACAGAAAAGAAAGGTGCAGGGGGCTGGACACTGACAAACAAAAGGAGATTTAAAAGCTTCGTTTGAAGATTTTTGCATGTCACTTCGTCTTGTGCTTTGGCCTTTAAAAGGAGAAAATGCATCGCACTTTTAGCGTTTGGCTGGATGTATTCCGGAGAACAGCAGCTTAATTAAAAAGTAAAGGTTTTGATTTGACCTAAAACCATAAAGAGGTGTTCTATTGTAGCCTATAAAACCTCGCTCAAAAGAAACAAAACTGCTTTCTAAAGTCTCTTGTTTCACTTTGTGCCCAATAAAACAGCAGCACATCTTCTCCTGCTGGTCCGTAGTCTTTGCCGCTGTCCAAAAACATAAGCTCATAAAAAAAAAAAAACAAAGTAAAGAAAAAGAGGAAGAAAATAATAAGAGACGATTTCAGATCTCCAGTTGCTACTCAGCCTGGCAGCCTCCCTGCATCACGAGTCAAAGCTCCAACACCTGCTGAAGAAATTGCACGTCTTCAGACGAGCTCGAGTACCTGTGCAGAGAGAACGCACACCTGTGACCTCGTTGTTACGGGAAAAAGCAATGAATTAAATCTCCTCTCCAACAGCTACATAATAATAAAACGACAAAAAGGCAGAAACCACAAAAATAATTAACATATAGCAGTTGGACTATATAACGAGGCATTTTTGAAAGGGTCAAAAGTTCACCCAGACTAGTGTGGCACATCACTAATGCAGATCTGAACAGTTCATGAAAATATTACAAAAATAATTACTTTAGGTATATTTTGTGTGTTACTTTGATTCCAAACAGAAGCCAGTGAGGTGACATTTGGACTTCAAGAGTGGAAGATTAAACACAGCAGACAAAAGCAGGCTTGAATTGGATCAGATGCACAAGGATTTATCTTTATTTGTGAGTGTGTTTAAACAGTTATTCCTAATTTTTTCCTGGGATATTGCCAGGAATGTGTCTTATGGAGAATCTTATAAAGAAATTTGACATTTCTGGTTCAAATTGTCAGTGAGCGTCTACAGCCATCTGCAGAGCACATCAACCTGTGGTGTTCTTGTCAAAATGAATGCAACAATGAACACAGCAAAATACGACAATATAAATACCAGATCTATATATCCAATCTGATTTTTTGTTTTATTCATGTCTTATTAGTATTTGGCTTCACACTTTTGTATCCTGATCGCGTTCTTACAAAGTTTTCTTCTTCAACAGACAGCCTCATTAAAATACCAGAAATGAGTCCTCTTAATCAGCGGTCCCCAACCCCCGGGCCTCGGACCGGTACCGGTCCGTGAGTCGTTTGGTACCGGGCCGCGAGAGT